GAATTAGAGATGGGCGATTGTCCACAATCGTACTCGTACTGGATGTGACAAAAGTTTGTTATAATGGGAAAAGAAAAAAACATATTTTTTAAATATATTTAATGTATTCAAACTACAAAAATACTCTCTCACTCAATACTAGTTTTCCGGTTTTCACATTTCTACCAACTATAATAAAGATTTATAGTATTCGATAATACAAACATAGACGCAATTACCTGCAGTAGGTAGTCGGTATTCTGCTTCCGAACGCCACGTTTACTCTTGCTACAATTATTCTACTTTAAAAGTTCTTTAATAATTTAACTTTCAATTGATTAAATTTATTGAGACAAAAAAAACTCAAAACTTCAAAAATCATTTCATCGTATTTAACTTCGAGTTTATTTCGTTGCTTTCATTTTTSTTCTGTTTATGATTTTAGTGATACATTTAAAAACTTTACTTACTTTTAATATGCATATTCATTGAAGGATTGTAAAGCAACTTCAAACCAATTCAGATTTTCAATGCTGTCACAGAATATGATTTTATTTTTTCCATTTTGAACATACGCAAGCCATTATTCGAAACAGTTGTTTACTAATGTGACGAAATTTCCAATGAATAAATTTGGTAGCAATTTTATTAAAATTTATAATGAGCTCTGTTTAACAAAAAATTAAAAGGAAGATATTAAGAGATCACAGCAATCCACTTGATGTACTTATGGAATCGTATATGAAATTTATCTTGCATTTACTTTCATGATTGTATTTACGTCTTACTTAACAGATTTATATCACAATATCTACTGAATAAGACGCATTTGTTATGTTGTTACGTTTTGTAAATATTCGTATGGTAAAATATCTGCATTTTATCATAAACCATTTTTTTTCTGTTTTATTCTTATACTTCCGTTATAAAAATAAAGCTAAATTAATTCGTAACAGCAGACTATTTCAAAGGAGAAAGCTTTGGTGCACTTCACGCAATTTCTTTCGATTTTTTTGCGATTTTTTTAGTGTTGWAATTAACTGATGTAATATAGTCGTTGCAGCCGCAATTTTGATCTAAAACAAACATTTCAAAAAGATTATTAATTTGTACGAAAATCACTATCGAGCATGTTTATTTTTTTGACAAAATGACGGCGGTTTAAACAAAAAGTATCGAATTTGATACACAATAGGGATATGAATTAATATAGGTACTTTATTTTTTATTTTATTATAAACTTTCKTTTTGTATATAAATATATTTAATTTACTTATAATTGTTTTCAGAGTAAATTTTCGCAACAAGACAAGCAAGAATTCTTAAAGATTTTTCGACAAATGCAAAATGTTTGCGGATATATATATTTTATTCTTATCGCTCTTACTGGCTTCCGCAATTTCGGGAACAATATCTCAATGTCCTTGGCAAAGAGATATCTTGGAACTACAGACATCTTGCATATGCGCATATAATTTAGGACGAGAGCTTTCTGTTCAATGTGATCAGGTTTGTTTTTAAGTGTATATGGAAATATATTATATTGTATAAATAAATCATAATCACGTTTTTTTTTTGGAAATAACGTTTTTGCTTTTGAAATAGGTGAACTTCTTTTTACTTATGGACGCTTTAAGTATATATGCCACACAAAAACCGATAGATCTACTTTATATCAACAATTCAACAATCAATGAATTGCCAAACAACATCTTCCAAAATCTTAGTGTGCATAATGTACAATTGTCCAGTTGCCAAATAAGAAAAATTCAAAACGGTGCTTTTAATGGCCAAGAAACAATGCTGAAAAATCTCAATTTACAAGACAATTTGTTGACAGAAGTACCGACTAAAGCCATAAATTCTCTAAACAAACTAAACTTGATTGATCTTTCAAAAAATCGTATAACATTTGTATCCAACAGCTCATTCTCAAGTCTAAAAAAATTATCGACCCTGAAGTTAAATGATAATAACGTTACATTAGATGTTGCAGCCTTTAGTGGACTGGACGAAAGTCTTAAAAATCTTAATCTGAAAGGCACAAAACAACGTCATATACCCGAAAGTATACGTGGACTTAAAAGTCTGGCATTCCTTGATTTATCATTGAATGGTATTAAGGAATTACCTGGTGCTGGAGGTATACGTACGTTCGAGGGACTCGATTCATTAACTGCTTTGAATTTAGAACGTAATTTTATACAAAGTTTGGGAGAGACATCATTTGCTGGCATTCGCAAAACACTGAGTTCCCTCAGCTTATTAAATAATTTACTATCCGAATTCCCCATTGGAGCTATACATGCATTAAAGGAGTTACGAGTTTTAGACATAGGTTTTAATTTGCTAACCTCATTACCTGAAGGCGCTTTCCGTGGCAACCCCGGCATTACATTACTGGCCTTAGATGGAAATCCATTAAACACAGTACCTCAAATAGCGTTCGCACATTTAAATTCAACACTTCGTGGCCTATCACTAGGTGGCCGATTTCTACACTGTGATTGTAAATTACGTTGGGTTGCTGAATGGATCCGCAATGGCGACTTGCAAGTAACATCACGCGAGCGTAACCCTCAATTTTGCGGTTCGCCAACAAATTTTCGAGATAGAGGATTTTACTCTATACAACCGGAAGAATTAATCTGCTCTGACGTGCAGAATATATCAAGTATCCTTGAAGATATAAAAACAGAAACATCACTAATAACGCAAACCAACACTACATCGCAAACATCTACCATTACRTCAAATGACAAAATTTACCATCCAGAGTTATTTGCAATAAATACATCTACTACTACGAGCAGTTTACAAGCTTCTACAAAGACAACTACACCACGGCCCACAATAGATTCAGTAAGTAGCTATCTTATATGAGAAATAAAGCTTACTTTTTAATTATATTTGCTTATAGCCAACTAAACCAAGTTCCACAATGCAGCCGGTGGTGGTATCCTCTACATTATCAACTAATCCGACAATCTCTAATGGTGGAAACGCTACTTTAACAACAAAGCCTTCTTTATCTAACATAGGTATCAAAGCAGTAGCAACTAATGCGACAAATAACAGTGCCAGTAATTCGCTCAATAACAACAAGCAATCGGGCACATGGCGACTGAATAGCTCAACAACATCGTCAGTGGTAACACACAGCAAAACGCAAAAGCAGCAGCGTCCACCACTGATACTAAGTTTTCCTCCACAAAGAGACACACGGTTCGACGACACTAATGAAGTACAAGTAAAGAACGCCTTTCGACAAGAAAACTCTGTCATCATTCAATGGGATTCAGATACAGCTAATATACTTGGCTTCCGTGTGGTATACCGCCTGTTCGGCGAAAAGACATTCAAGCAAGGACCACCGCTAGAAGCAAGTGAGCGCGAGTTTAAAATAAAGAATGTTCCAGCTCAAGAATGCATTATTGTTTGTGTAATTTCATTGGAGGAATTGCATGTGACTCCCGAAACGGTGCCTTATCAGCAATGCCGTGAAGTACGTACAGTCGCTTCACAAACTTCTAACATGGACAAAATAACAATTGCAGCAAGTGCGGCAATATGTGGTACAATTATTGTAGCAGTAATTGTATTTATAGCCGCAAGTAGGTAAGGTAATTTTTAATAAATGTATTTAATAAAGTAAAGTAAATTCTTAATTTATAATTATTTCCCACTATTGATCCATTTATAAAGAGCCTGTATAATATCTAGACTTTCTGTTATACACAATAACGCACACCTCTGATTCAGATTATTTTTTAACAATTTTCTTCTTTAAATATTTCCGAGCTATTTATTTATTAGAAACTAGCAGTAATCAACTAAAAATTATGCTTACAAATCCATATATTAATTGCCACATCCTTGAATTTCAAATATAGACGCTCGCGTAAACTCCAGAACACGCAACAGAAGAACCCTTTACCAATTGGGGGATTGCCAGTAGCCTGTTGCGGACCAGCAGGATCCCCTGGGCCACTGGGCTCCATCGCCACTTTATCGGCATTTAATAACCATAAGGTAACAATAGAATAATAATTTAATATATTAGGGGGTTTCGCTTGCTCTTGCAAAACCCTTGCACGGTGCAAGAATTGCATATATTTCCTCTTGGTGCACCGACACAACAACAAACACACGCAGAAAATTATTTGCAATGCTGTAAAATATGTCAGACCAAAACCCATGAAGATTTGCGTGCAATGTTTCGCAAATATATAATTGCAACCCTATTTTAGCTGTAATTTTACATAAAGACATATTACGTCGTTAAATTGTTGAGGAAGGTAAGTTTTAAATCGATTTTATAATTTTTACTTAAATTATAAAGATTTGTTACAGTTTTTTTTTTTGTTAAAAATGTATGCAGAAGGTGCGCCAATTCACAATAGCCATGCATGATAGTCATTCACAAATTGATCGAATCAGCCGTTCATATATCACTAGATTCTGCAATGGGTGCTCTCGTGCCCTTGTATATTACGGTATAGTATTTTTGCAAGAGCAAGCGAATACCCCTAATGTAACGTGTACACATATACCGTCCTCAGACTCATAGTTTTCGAGATATTTCACTTTAAAGTTCCACAATTTTATATGCAATTCACTCTTATTTTATTTTGTTTCGTTGCTTACATGTTGTGTTTTGAAAAAAATATTAAACAATTTTCTGATTAACATATATAGAGAAAATTGTACAAATGGTTTTTGTATCTTATGTTATTTCATAAAAAAGAAGATAAAAAATAATATTCCTTTGTGTCGAATTACTTTCCGCACTGGCGGCATTCGGCCGCGCTTCAAAAAAAAACCCTGATCGGTCCAACACCGGGGGGGGGGTCTGCACTAGCGGCCTTCGGCAGCCCTTCAAAAAAAAAAAATAATAACCCTCATCGATCGAAAACATATATTAATCGAAAGGAGAGAAATACTGAAAAACTTTGCATTCTATAATAAATTTTATAAATTTTTTTTAAATATGAAATAGATTTTTGATTATATTTTCAGGACACAAAGTATGGCWACACTGCTATTTGTCATAAATGTAAACACACAAATCTCTTGAAACTTTGAATGTGCAAAATAGTTTTTAAAGTATATTTATTTTCTCAAAAAATATACAATTAGTATAAATTTTTTATGTATACGAATGTGTACAGTGTAATTAAATGTATATTAATTAAAAAAAGTGTGAAACATAGTGAAATAACGAGCATTGTTTTTACAAGTTTTTTTAACTTTAAAGTGAAATATCTCGAAAACTATGAGTCTGAGGACGATATTTTTCAATCCTGAAGACCTCCGCTATCCATCCGTAATCTTGCMGCTAAGCAATAATAAGTTCTTTTCGCTTTAAAAAGTTTGTATAATAAACTGAAAACGTGAAAAATTAATGTCGCGAAACATAAATTTGAATTAAAAAAAGTAAAAGTTTATTATTATTTATTCGTTATATATTATTATATTATTTGTTGAATATTTTCTTAACAATATAATAGCAAAGACCACGAAACATTTTTTGGTAAATCAAAATTGTGATAATATATAAAATATATGGAGTTATTTTCTTTTATTTTAAGCAAATTACAACTTATACTATATGCATCAATAATAATCATCAGTAATAATCATTTTGGTTTTGAGCACAAAAATATTTTTATGTAACTAAGTGCGATACTTTTGTAGTGTGAATAAGTAGGAAAGTAATTTTACTAAATTTTTTGTAGTTTTAATAATAAAATTATATCAGCATATACACATATGTTTCTTACAACAGGAATGGGATCAAATGTCTGCATATAGCGGTCGCTCTATTCCACGACCACGAATATATTCCGTAGATAATCAAGAGGATGTGCGAAGTCATTTTTCTGCTATGCCTGGGAAAGTTGGTAAAGCGAGGTAAGTTCTTTTTTATAAACTTAAAATCTTTAATATCAACATCACATTTCCCGTGCATCGAATATTTAATTGAATGATGTTTGAACACATTTCCCCGACCTCTAAAATGATGCATCGACGTATTATTGAATCCGATATGAGCATTTAAAACCAAACTGTTTTAATTAAAAGGATAAGTTTATTAATACAACCTGCACCATACTTTGATATCASGCTCCTAAGGTTGTTGAATGATTGAATTCTTCGCTTTTACAAATTCACATCTAGAACTTTAATTTCCATGTTAATTAGGTAGTGCATTCAAATCATTGTATAAACCTACAAGTAACAAATCCTATCATTTTCACCCATACCTACACAGTCGAAAGCTTGTAGAATGACAGAAATTACATTAAGAATGCCATAGAATGAGGGAAGACTGAGGGCAAAAGCCCAGGCAGTTCGTTAGGGTTTCCTAAATATTCTACTACTAAAACAGTCAAATGSCTTAGAAAAGGCACGAGTGTGTTACCGTGTCATGCTATCCAATTTATTAATTTAAGTACGATTTTGTTAAATTTTCAAATATATTTCGTCTCTTTGTCTCTTTTCTATTTTATTAAAAATATTTGAAGAATCTATCTTTTTTGTTTAAATTACTACAAATAGTTTTGTTTAGTTTTGTATATTTAATATGTATGTATGAAAATAGGCCTCTTGGCGAATCTAACACCCAAAAAATATTGCCAACGCGCCTTTACTGCAACCTCTTTACTATTTTTAAGGCCTTTTATTTAAATCTCTGTGTCGAAAAATCAACTAYGTATTTCGATCAGGTGATCTCAGCTGTTGACGGCCATATGATTCTTTTATTACTTGTATGTTTCTACAATGATTTAAGCTATCGAYACAGTTTTTTTTATAGTTCTAATAGTAGTAATATAATATTATATTCGCCTTTTCATATCAACGTTCAATTGAAAATATCATACGGCCAGCATCAATTTTTCTTGATCTATAATGAATTCACTTGTTAGTCTAGTAGAGCCCTAAAAGCGCCTAATTTAAACATTTAATCTGGGAGTAAGGAAAGAAAGGACCAAATCGCTTTCTATTAAGTTTCATTAATATTGTGCTTCTGTGTATAAAACATACATCTGTGTTATTATTAACATTTTGATACAAATGGTTACTCAATACATAAATGTTCAAGCAGACTGCCTCGAAGGTTTCGACACATACTAATAAAATAAAATTATTAATGGTGGTGTACTGAAATTATGATTGACAACAAATCGAGGATTGTATTTGATACATTCAAAAGATTAGAATTTTTGAAAATCGTATTTAAAATCTCTTCTCATTCAATAGTACTTAGATTATCGCAGTATGATTCATTTCAAAACCACCATCTAAAAAGAAGCGAAAAATAAAGCTTGATTTGTTTTAATTTTAATTACGTTGTGCAATCCTAGTAGCTTCCTCAGAAATGCCAATAAATTATATATGATTGGCATTATCTTTCAAAACATCTGGAAACACACAATAATAAAATTTTTTTCTTGATTTTAGTATGAAAAGTATTTCATTGAAAGTTATATGACTAATAAGTGTTTTTTAAATTCTGTATTTCAATTCTTGTGATACATAATCCTCCCTCTAAACTAATACAAACTGGTGTTCAAACAGATCAATAGCTGATGGTCAATCCCAAAACAGTTTCTCAAATAATTCACATCGCGGCTATTTAGGCGCAGCTTTTCCAACTAATTTGATTAACTCTCGACCAGAACTTCGACAATCCAGGCAGTCTTTAGCAGCCGCTTCGGAACGTTTATCGCGTGCTTCATATGCTGGTTCCATGCATGGTCCAACCAGCATAACTTCAAGTACCAGGCGTTCACGTCCACGCTCGAGATCACGCGAGCAACTCAATTCAACACATATACATAACCATAGACCTGGTAGCCGGTAAGTAATAATGTTATAATATATGGGTACATACAGAAGTTTGATCAATGTTTTTGTCAACCAAAAGATTTTAAATTATAAACATATAAACTTTTCAAACACGTATTCCATAGATACTATTCGATAAAAAAAATACTTCTTTAGCATATTAATATCTAAGCTCACTGTTAAATAAAATCAAGCATTAAAAACAAACACTAAAATTCAACACCATTTTTGATTTGAGGTTTAAAGTTATTCTGAAGAGCGGCGAAATTCTTTCCGAGAATTAAATTAAATCATTTTAATTTATACTCTTGCAACCAATTGCTACAGAGATAGAGTTATATACATACATATAAATTATGAGGATGACGAGAAAAGTTGTTATCCGGTTGACGGTCTGTTTGTCCGTCCGTGCAAGCTTTAACTTGTGTAAAAATGAAGATATCTTGATAAAACTTGGTATGTGGGTTCCTTAGTGCAAAAAAAAATTTCGAGTTCGTAGGTGGCCATAATCGGACCACTGCTACGCCCACAAATCTCCTTTAACCGAAAACATATAAAGTGCTATAGTTAAACATTAAATTCGATCAGCAGGTTGATGTTTTACACCTTAAAGTAAAGGCAAGAGTAGTTGAAAAATGTTCGGTTGCACCCAAACTTAGAACTTTCTTACTTGTTCATTTTGAAATTATTTATATKATATTGAAACCACACTCATTTATAAACACGAAATGTTAGTGTGTATGTTTATTACCTCTTCACGATTAAATGGCTGGAGCGATAAAAATAATAAAATTTCTTATTCCCATAGGAAAATCGATCAAAATGAACTCGCTGGTAATGTATGAAGATCTTTGTACATAACTTTTTCAATTAAAACACGATACTTAAAAAGATGCCCAGGTTAAGTAGGTACATACCCCACTCAAATAATTAATAATTTTGTTTCTTGTCTGTTATACCATAATTTAAACAAAATTAGTTTTCGAGTTTACAAGAAATCCTGGCAAGTGGTTGTGCATACAAATTTCTATAAAATTGGCGTTCTCCCTCAATATAAATAAAAGTCAAGGACAAACTCTAAACTCTTGTTCGCAGGTGTTGAGAGCAAGAAATCTTTTCTGCCCGTCATACATTTTTTTTGATCTCTCCTATGCTTAAAATTCAAATTATTTTGATTATAAAAAGGTGAATAGTCATTATTTCTACTGTTAATACGGAATTTACTCTCCTTAATAAACCGCGGGCAAAGCTAGTACTTTGTATATTTGGTCGTTCATTAAGTAATTTCCTTTATTTAGTGCAATTTAAATACGACTGTTTTATTGTGTAGCGTGAACGGTTACTTTAGACAAATTTAATCTTTCCCCMATCTCTCGATTTTTTATTCGACGAGTTGCCTCGACCAACGACTTGGTTTTATCCACATCTGCATCAAGATGTCTTCCTAGACGTGTTGCATCCTATTGGTCAAAATCGCCGGAATGAAATTATGCAAACGAAGTTTGGCATTGCCGTTCGGTCAACACATCTTCTTCGTAGTTCTTCTTCTTAATTGGCGTAGACACCGCTTACGCGATTATAGCCGAGTTAATAACAGCGTGCCAGTCGTTTCTTCCTTTCGCTACGTGGTGCCAATTCAATATTCTAAGTCCAGTCTGGAGTAAACAGAACTAACGGTGCGGGTGTTGAGACCGATGATATCAATAACATCTAAAACACTGGAGACGTGTCGTTTTTCGATCCGGAGACAGCCAGGTAGCTGATCAGCCTCAACCCATTTGGGGATGTTTCCTCATGGAGGCTGAATTTACCGACCATAGCGCCAAAGATACCTTCTTTGCCCACCCTGGCGTTAAAGTCGTCAAGCACGATTTTGACATCGTGGCGGGGGCAGCTCTCATAAGTGCTTTCCAAGCACTTTATTTTTACGAGGAAATCAACCAGCTGGGCAGCGGCACTTTCCCAATTAAGGGACCGAACATTCCAGGTGTATGTCCTCAATTCGTAGTCTTTATTTCGTTTGCCATGGTCGTCATCAAAAGATGGGTCTCTCATCCGGGGCTGGTTGCTCCTTCTCATTGGGGGTGTTTTTTTACGTGGCGGGTCCCAAACCCAGCGCACAAGCCTATGCAATGAATGTTTCACCTTCTCACTTTAGCTCGCCTTCAAACGGATGTTCTTAGCTACCCAGAGGATATTTGGTCAAAGACCGGAAGTCATGAGATGCTTGAGTCACATGTAAAAGAATCGTTTCTGGCCACTCCCAAGTGAATGGCGGTCAGAGAACTTTCCTCACTTGCGTGAACTTCTACACATGACTCCTCCTTCGCTGTACACGTTGTACATACAGTGGCTCAAACGCATAATCGGACAGTGGTTTTTTATACGAAAATTTATTTTAWTTGAAAGAAAAAAGCCAGAAAAAAGAACAACAATGATTCAATTTTTATGGTGAGTATTCTCCAATCTCTCCTTTTTCATACAATAAAAAAAAACAAGAATAAATTCATTTTTACAAAACAAATTTAACAAAAGCAAAATAAATCAGAATTCTTTAGCACAAACAAATAATCGGACACTAAACAATATTGTCATAATAGTGCAAAA